TATAAGGGTGCCATGGCCACCTGAACTCCAGGAGATCGCTCACTCGAGTGATGCTGTGAGGACCAGCCCTCGATTGATGCTGTAAGGAGCAGCCTTCTGCTCTCACTGATAAACACCACACAATCCTGTCCAAGAATTAGTTCTGAGACAATTTACACAGTACTGTTGTCTCTTGGAACACCATACTGATCTGCATTGACCTGCACTTGTAAGTACAGCGTAAGTGAAGACATACCCCTCGGTACTGAAATATTGTTGACTATATACGTCTACTCGTTTCTGCCTAACTTGGAGTAATAAGACAATGCAGAATGAAGTGTAGCTAAGATTAATAGAGTTATGCACTTTGTATCATGTCACTATGCTCAATAATCAATTACAATTAAGACAAATTGTGTGAGACTAACCAATTATGTATCAGATAGATCACCATGTAATACTAATGAACGCCTTGTTGTCTGCAGGTTTTGACCACATCAATAAATATTGAATGCGTCAACAGGCGGGTTTCAATCATTCCCTTTGACTTGCCCGTCATCTGAACGTCCTTATTCTCAAGGCGTTTATACCATAGTTAGAATCTTGAGGTTCCCCAGATGACCAAAACCAAAGTAATACCAATATTGTTGTAGGGGCACTGGGCAGCTATAATCCATTGAACTAGTTTGTGTGCTTAGTATTATTTATATATTCAAAAAAGTTTTACTGTGTTGCACAGTAAAGCATAATTAATTATATAATAATATTCATTTACTGAGCCGCTGGGAAGCTCGCCCCAACCAGTGACGTCACAACCAATCACAGAGCTTTTCGCAGTCACGTGACTTTTCAGCATATTTAACCCTTATTTTTTTCCACTTTTTGGCCCAATTTATTTAAAAATATTATTACCATAGTGAATTTAAACTTAGAGTGTCCAGGAGCATTATCTATCACCAGGATCACTTTGAAGTCAATGTTCTTCCTCCGGCAGTACTGTTGGGCTTCAGGAACAAAGTGCTTGCCAAACCAATTGGTGCATAAAGACATAACCCAAGCTATCTTATTAGACGTCCAATAAACATTGAGCTGCCACATACAGTATTGGCATGATGGTAGGCTCTAGGACAGGCAGCACAGTTAACAACCAGGGGTTTCATTAAGAAACCTCCACTTGCATTAGCTGTGAATAAAACTGTAATCCTGTCCTTTGAAGTCTTTACACTCCTTGTCTGTTTTTCATCCTTGGCAATGAAAGAGGTCTTATGTGAGCACTTACAGAAAATGTCAGTTTCGTCACAATTGAAGATCTGGTCTCGGCAATAACCACCGTCTTTCACAAGAGCTTGATAGATAGGTAGATATTTTTCTTCTGCTACTATATCAGCCGATGCACTCTCCCCATGGTAGTGGGCAAACTTGACTTCATAACACTTCATAAAAGCAGCCAACCAACCAACAGAAGCATTGAATGGTGGTGGAGAGTTAACACATTTCTTCTGTGAAACTGCACCATAATAAACATGTGCTTGATGCCTTATCTGTGGCCCAGACAGGTCGCCCTACTAATGGTTTCTTCTTTCCATCCACTTATGAAGGCAATGTTTTGTGATAACAAGCAGTAGGTTTCGTTGTGAATTATCGGAGAACGTCCTGTTACTATAAAATCTTGAGAATGCGTTCACAGAAACAGCTAAGGCTTCCTTCTTCTTCTTAAGGGAATGTATGGTTGATTTGGGGCAGTTGAACCTTCGCATCGTTTCACAGATACGAGGACCACTCTTGATCTTCTCAAGCATCTCTCTCTTCATTTCAAAGGTGTATTTCCTCTTCTTGACCCCCTTACAGTAGTCATGTTTGGCTTGGGGCTTTCCTTGTTGACCTTCTCTATGGCCATCATTACCACCAGAACCACTCACAACATTAACATTACACACCTCACGCATTGTTAATACACAAGAACCATTAATACACAAGAATCGTTAATAGTTACACAAGAATCTCGCAAAACGTAAGCACAATGGGTTACGTAATCCAAGGTCACTGTACTGCTCTCTCGCTCATTCAAACTAACTGCCCTAAACCAAAAACACTGTGGATAACAAAGGACGTCGACAATGCGTGCTGCCCACTCTCCATTGACTCGTGAAACCTGTAATGAAAATCGCTGTTCTTGAGATCCTACTGTATATTGTTGTTACAAAGCATAAGTTACAAATTTAGACATACTGTATTTGGTAAAAATTCCAATGAACTACCTATATAGAGATGCAAGTCCGTTATATAGCGGGTCCGTTAAAAGTGAAGAGCACATCAAAAGGATTCTATGGAGAGAGACACGTCTGTTATATGGAGGTTTCACGGGAAGGTGATTTCAGGATCTGTCTTATTTTTCTACATTTTCTCTACTTTTGTCTTGTTTTATACTTTCTCCTGTAGGTATATTAGTTGAAGAAATCCTTCATATTTATAAATATTGTACAGTCGGCCCTTCACATACGCGGGCTTAGCATACACAGATTTGCAAATACGCGGATTGCCCCGCTGGAGGAATATTCTGTACATTGAAGTAGTTGAAGTACAGTAAAAGTCCAAAAATCCAGATGCCAGAAATCCGGACCACCCGAGAATCCGGACTTTTCGAAAACTCTATTTTTTTTTTTTTTTTTTTTAATATAGCGGGCTTTTTTGTGTATGTTTGCATGCGTGAGCACCACTGCTACACAGCAACAGCAAGCGACCACACGGTCGCCACTTTAAAACGAGCAATCAAACTGTGACAATGTATGTAAGTTTGAGTCCTACTGTTTCCACTTACAGAGTACTACTGTACAAGCCCATAATAATGGCCCCTAAAGTAGATAAACTTCGTTGTGTGAAGAGAAAGAAGAACACGTTGAAATTGAATGACAAACTTGAAATAATTAAGAAACTAGAACGTGGTGTGAGCAATACTGTTCTAATGGAAACATACGACATTGGAAAGTCTACAATTTATGATATAAAAAAGGCAAAAGAATAAAATTCTAGAATTTACAGCTTTTTCTTTAAAACTGCTCGTTTTGATAAATGAAGCATGCTATATTTGCTAATGAATAAACTATCAAAATGTTTCTGTTCATCTCTGCTTTATTCCTCCTTAAATTTGAATTTTAAAAGTACTGCCTGAGAATCCGGAAAATCCGGACAGACCCAATCCCCAAGCAGTCCGGATTTTTGGACTTACTACTGTACATTCAAATCTCGCGCGGCACCCCACACACACACACACACACGCGCGTCACACCACCCCGTGCTCCCTCACTCAGTCAGTCTCGCTGTAACCGCGCTTGTGTTGACATCAGCATTGTAGGTCGACCCTGATTTTTTTACCAAAAAATCATTAATTTATGATATTCCTTGTTTATAGGTCGACCCAAATTTTTGAGGGTATTGGAACAACAAAACCTTCAGTAGAAACACTCTACGTCCTATAAACTGAGGCTCGCCGTGCCTGAAACACAGAGTGCCGAAGGCAAATTGTTTACCATTTATTATTACGACACTTTACACTGAAACGCGGTTAGTTTCAACAAAAATATTGTATATTTCCATTCAAGTATTTATTCAAGTCAATTTGGAGGGAATATTATTGTAATACAACAGTTTTTTAACTAAAAACCAGTACTGTACACTAATGTATAACAATTTTTATCTCTTGAGCAAAATATATGACGTTTATATTCAAATTATTGGCTATCTTGCAAGGATTCCAGCAATGCAAATTATAATCTCCTAACTTTAGTCTGAGATATTATATAAAATAAACACCTTAAAGAATAAAGTTATCACCAATCTTTTGTCTGGGAACACAAGGAGGGAGGTAGCCAGGGAGCATGGGAGGGGGGGGAAGGTGAGGTGACAGACTCACAGAGTGTGGTGTTTATTATTTACTTGAGATAAGATTTGACAGTTGGCGCTGAAGGCCTGCCTGTGTGTTTATTTATCATTACTTAAGAGTGACTAAGCTCTTCTCATAATTTGCCACCCAAACGACCTGGGTGAATATAACTTACATTGCTGGGATTCTTGTAAGATAGTGATTTATTTGAATACCTGTATAAACAATCTATATTTGCAATAGACATAACAATTTAAGTACAGTAATTATTTAGTACATGGACAGTACAGGTTTGTTCCACGGTAAAATCTTTTGAACAACGAAAGAAAGCGAAAGTCATTGTTTTCGTCATGATTTTATCCCACTTTCCACTGTAATACGTAGGTCGTTTCAGCCAAAATATTACATTTCCATATTTATTTCTGAGAATATATTCATTCAGTCACAGTGAAGGTAAAATATACTTGTGATGTAATATTTTAATGAAAATACCCGGTATTTAGAATTACGGCATCGTAGTTTTCTTTTGTTTCAAATTTAATTAACAAAGATTGATGTTTCAAATGTAATGAAGAAAAATTTATGTACAGTATCTATAAATAAACTTTAAAAAATGAATACTTTATGTTTTACATCGTCCTTTGCATTCCATACCATGCATTTGGCTACTTTGGGCTTGCTATGATGACGCAAGAGATCTGCCCTGGCAACTGTACCAACGCTCACAGCTGGTGGTGCATTGGTGCGTCGTTTCCATTGTTTACTGGTAGTTACTGGTAAATATTTTTCAACCTAACGAAACTGTTACCCATTTAGAGGTCAACCCCCAAATTTTTGCCAAATAATTTGGTCTTAAAAACTCGAACTACACACAGATATATACTGTAAATAAGGACATGGGGGGCCAGGGGTTTCTTGGGGGGGGGGGTGCAAAAGTATACGGATTTTTAACATTCACGGGTATCTCTATTACCTAACCCCCGCGTATGTTAAGGGCCGACTGTACAGTAATCCCATTTTTAATTGCTAGCAAGCGTCTGTTGCTTTATTTCTATACTAGCCAAGACAACACAAATCAATGTGAGTAAACAGCATTATTAGATCATTGATTTTTGATGATGTTCTTTCTCTTATTTCACAGATACTTTAGTAACTCCACCTGCCATCCAAGGTGACAGAGCTGACACTGAGACCAATACCAGCAGCACTAGGAGTACACTCAGTACTTCTACATCCAATACTACCATTGTCACTGCTGCCACTACCATTATTACCACTGTCAGTAATGGCACCACTGAACACAACTCTAACAGTGGTGGCAATAGTAGTAATAATGATGTCATTGGCAGTTATAGTACTGGTGGTGGTGGTGGTGGTGTGGTAGTTGGTGGAGAGGAATATGTAGTGGTGGGAGTTTGTGTAGTGGTAGTGCGATTAATTGTGGATTACTCCGAGTGTGCCTCCACGTTAAGATTAGCGGCACAGCAGCTGCTAACACGACTGACAGACCTGCTGAGGAGATTCAATTCAGACACGTGCAGGCAAGTAACCCAGTTCTTCCTAAATATGGTGTACATAATTCTTAACGAGGCATTGGTGAGAATTGGCCATAAAACATTGATGATGATTACATGAGTTGCTTAGTTTTGTACTCAGCTATAATATGGGATTCCAGGATCAATCCTCCATCATCATAATTTATCTTCTTTGTTTCATTCCAGACTTTTGATTGAAGCTGGTGCAGTTGCCCTTGGGCTCAAAACTATTACAATTCGAAATTTAGCGCTGGCCTGGCGATCCTTACAACTATTACTAACTTTGCTGCCGCGCCTTAACACACATTTCTCTACCCTTCTTCGACCAGCCATTGTTGTAAAAAATATAGAACAAGTAAGTGAAACTATTTTTTACTCACCTGAATTTCTTAAGGCTGTGATTATTATGTAAAACTTGTTTAGGCTCTTCAGGGTCTCAGAAACGAAACCTGTTTTTCCCTATAAGTTATTACAGATCGATATACGATTGATCAGCCTTCTGTACAGTGGCTTTTCGATGTCCCTAACCCCATTGTATAATGGTCTACGTCTGTATACATAATTCAAGTAAATAAACCCTTGACTAGAATGAAATTATCCAATTAACTTCAATGCTCACAAGTTATAATACTGTACAGTTTTTTCTCAGTTTCATGAACTAATTTGAGTCAACCCCTGCTCATTAAATTGAAATTTTCACTAAATCGTGCTTTCCATTATGTTCACACGATTCACCGGACTATTTCACTAAATCGAGTGCGATTCCACTAAATTCCACACCAAACGCTCCACGCATTGCTTGGCGCGTCAGGTTTGTTTACATCTGCTTAGTCTGTGTCCTGCCGCCACCGCGTGTGTTGCTCACTGCTACCTCTCACTCGACTAACTACACTGGACCACCTTAGCTTTTGTCTTTATTCAAGACATCTTCAGAGGCAACTGAATTTACAGGGACTGAGAGAGGCTTATATACAATGGGTGACCTTACATAGCATCAGGTCAGGTCAGTAACATGGGGTCCACTAATCCACACACCATCTCCACCGCAAACGAAAGAAGAGCTTATAAAAAATGGGTGACATAACAACAGGTCAGGTCAAGTTAGGTCAAAACATGAGACCCACTAATCACCTATCCTACATCCTCCTCAAATGCTTTCTAAGTATTTTTAACCTTAGGCCAGAGTTATTATTCATTAATTAATACCCCAACATCACACACACACAACTTCTAAAGTTTAAGTCTTTTGTATGAGACACAGTGAGTTGGAAGCACACTGGCAACTTCCCTTTTCACCAATGATTTTGTTTACTTGCACACATTATCATATTCTTGTAGGATCAGCTTCTTAAGATATATGTTTTATCATTGATAATATAAATTGTTAAACACTATATAATTTGCCATCTAAATTACATGACAAGCCAAATAATAGGCAATTTTTTCATCCAGACCTCTCCACTGGGAGGAAGGTGGGTAGCGGGTAAGTTTACACACGTCCCGTACAATATATATATATATACAGTATACAGTAGGCTCTCGCCAATAACGGTAAGTTACAATAGATACCCATTTTCGATAATAACATCTGGATTCTCTTGAATAACGGAGATTTCGCGGGAAGCATCCGAGCGCGTTTGTTTGCCGCCATGTTGATGACGTAGTTGTCCGCTCTGCCTCACTCTCACTCACGCTCCGTGGAATACAGCGCTGCGCCCATGTGTGAGATTTTCGCCTCTATAACCAGTGGTTGTTAGGGTCAGTGATCAATAATGGCTTCCGCATTTTTGTCTGTGGGGGTTAGGGGAGGTGGTGGAGTGAGTGATTTGCCACCTGAATGCCTGGAAACTTTTAAAGTGAGGAAATTGAACTGTCCTGAGTCTACAGTGTGAAATTTTAAGAGGAACTTAGAGGAGACCAAGAAGAGTATTGCGCTGGCTAAAAATATTTCGGTAGTGATGGAAATGCGAGGCGAGCTATGAATGATAAAGGTGATAGAAACAGGTTGTTAGTGATAACAGAGCATTTTCTTGTGAAATGGTTAGCTTGTAGAATGAAAGACAGTGCAAGTGTTAGCGGCCCTCAGATACGGAACAACCATCGCACCAAGCACCTCAAAAACTCCCCCCAGCTAAGTGTTATAATACTCAAACTCTTTTTTTTGATGATTGAATAGCAATTCTTTTTATTTCAGCTAACAAAAAGTGTTAGGAGGGCTTCTAAGGGGAAAAAATGGGTGAAATTCTTGGGGCGGCGGCACCAATAAACCCTTTTTACATGAATTTTAATGTCACACAAATAACGTTTTCGCTAATAACGGTGTTTTTCAGACACCTATTAGACGTTATTGGTGAGAGCCTACTGTAGTTTGGATTTACGCAGTTTTTGTTTACGCATTTGGTCATTTACTCGGTGCCTTGCCAGAATGAAATGCTTTAATTACGCGGTAAATTTCATCATTTACGCAGGAAGCGGCGCAGGCAGGGTGCGCCCAAGGTCGCCCAGTCATCAAAACATTACCGAGTTCTTCACCCGCCAACCACCACAGCCGGCCCAAGTCAGTGATAGTGAGGATATGGAGTTTGAGGGGTTTGACAAAGAGGCCCTGCAAGCCTCTGTGGTGGATAGTGATACAATTGATACAATTGCCTCGGAACCAACCCCCCATCCCCATGTGCCCAGCCATCTTTTCTACTTACATAAGTGTTAAAAAACCCAATATTATTTATATTTCTCTTAAATATTAATTGTTTGTGCATACCATCATAAAATTAAGATGCTATTTTTCCTACAACGTACGTATTGTGTCGGAAGAAGTGGAGTTTGGGAGTCGACCCAGTCTATATACAGTCATGTGCCGGTTAACGTCCTAGATACGTTCTTGGAAACGTGACGTTAACCAAAATGGATGTTGTCCGATCATCACATAAACTTTTTATTTATACTTACGTGTATGTAGAATACTATATACGTACATATACACTCTTACTCTTAAATTACTACTGTAATGTGATAGAGGTGATTAATTTTTATCTCTTGTGCAAAATACACAATGTTTATATTAAAATTATTCACTGTTTTACAAGGATTCCAGCAATGCTGGGCAGATGGGGGAGAGGGTGGGAGGGAGGGAGCGTGGGGGGGAGGGGAGCGGGAGGTGAGGTGGTACGTTGGACAGTTGGCGCCCAAGGTCTAACGCGTGTTTATTTATCAATTCTTAAGTGACTAAGCTTCTATCTTATAAATAGCCAGTGAAATGGCCTGGGTGAATATAATTTGCATTGCTGGGATTCTTGTAAGATGGTGATTATTTTAAATATAAACAGGCTATAATTTGCACTAGACATAACAATTTCAGTACCATAATCAAATTAGCACATGTACACTACAGCTTTGCACTAAGGTCATTTATTTCTATTATGTTTCTTTTAGTATGGTGTGTGCATGTAAATGGATGAAAATAAATGAAGAAATCTATGTAAATCTACCCAAAAATACAGTTGAAAAACTTTACATTACTAAAATGTACTAAACTAATGTACTAAAATTTTTATCTCTTGTGCAAAATATATGACGTTTATGTTCAAATTATTCCCTGTCTTGCAAGGATTCCAGCAATGCAAATTATATTCTCCTAACTTTAGTCTGTGATATTATATAAGATAAAATCTTAAAGCCTACTGTATAACCACCAAACCCTGGCTGGGAGGGAGCGGGGGGGGACAGTGACATGTTTGACAGTTGGGGCTGAAGGTTTGGTAAAGTATTTATCTGTTTATTTATGTCCTTTAGATTGAGTTTTTGTTTTTTGTTTATAAAATGTCATAGAAATGACCGGGGAGAATATAATTTCCATTGCTGGAATTCTTATAAGATAGTGATTAATTTGACTGTAAACATGCGATAGTTTGCACGAGACTAAAATTTTGTAATCATTTTGTACATTATTTTGATTACATGTACAGTACAGCTTTGCCCTTAGGACAGTGTGTGCATGTAAATGAGTTTCAATAAATGAATAAAGTTACACATATCGAGCCAAAAATAATAGTTGAAAAACTGTATGTAGACAAAGCTTGGATGACTAAATTTTAGAATGACCAACAATTTTAATATTAAAAATGCACAAATATTAAAGAGCACAATTTTCTTGATATTTACTCCACTGGAAACGAATGTAAACATAGAACAGATTACTGAATTGGCAGACTAGCCCATCAGCTGATCAGCTGATGCTCACAACAAAATGTGTTTGTCGTAAGGATTTCGTTAATCAAAGTTTTGTTCGTTAACCGAATTGAAGATGCTTATGGGAGGTAATTCATTAACTGAAATTTCGTGAGGCGATACTGGACCGGCAGCATCGTCCACATTCATTGTACATGTGGAGGGCTCAATCTACTGTGGGAGGGACGATGGCGCTTATCTGTCTCGGTTTGCAGTCGGGCTAACTCGAAAGTATTGACACCTTCTTGTGTGGTGCTCCTCCAAGTGTTACAGTGAGGAGTAATCATCTCCCAGGTGAGGGGGTCGATTTGGCACCTTTTCAGGTTTGTCTTAAGACTATCCTTATACCTTTTCAATTGCCCGCCAGCGTTACGTTTACTATTCGTTAGGTGACTGTGAAGTAGCTGCTTTGGCAGTCTACTGTCGTCCATGCGGGTAACATGGCCAGTCCAGCGTAGTCATTCATGGATAATGGTAGCCACAATGCTCCTACAGTTGGTGTCAGCAAGAATACTGGCATTTGTTCTCTTGTCTTCCCAGCAAATTCGAAGAATGGAACGTAGACTACGTTAAAGTTTTCAAGTGCCTTGAGGTGCCTCCTGTATGTGATCCATGTCTCACTGCCATATAGTAGGGTGGGTAGGACCACTGCCCGATATACGTGCAACTTTCTGGATAATTTCAGCTCCCTACAGCTGAAGACACAATTTCGGAGTCCGCCCAAGGCGTGAGATGCACATCTGATCCGATGCTGAATTTCTTCATCAATGTTTGCGGTGGTGGACAGGTGGGAGCCAAGATACCGAAAGTGGGCAACATTAGAGAGTGTAGTACTGTTAAGCTGGATGGATGGTGGAGGTGTCTCTGAACCAGGGGCAGGTTGAATGAGAATCTGAGTCTTTCGTACATTCACCTCAAGGCCGAAGTGTGCATACTCGTCTGCATAGGTGACAGTGCAAGAAGTAGTATTTACAGTGTATTCACTCCCGGTAAATACTACTTCTTGCACTGTCACTATGTTGAAATGCCCTGTAGTTTGAGCTTTTCCCCATCTAGTTATTATATATCTTATTTATATCACTTATGTTACTTGTATATTATTTGTAATTCGAAACCCATTCCCCAATT